TCAGATATAACTTTGAATGTCAGCATTCCCCAAATTTGTTTCTAAACCTTATTTTACTGTTTTATGTACATAGCTGACTGTTTTATGTACATAGCTGACTCTTATATGTCTTTACTCCAGTTGTCTGATGGGATGGCTTTTTAAAGTTTCTATATTCACAGTCTTATCTATGGTTTTGATTCACTCTCTTGCAACCTCTAGCTTATATGCACTCAAATCTTAACTCTCTACATCTGTCTTCTTCCCTAACTGTATAAGGTTGGACTGGTTCACGAGCCACTTCCCAGACCTTGCTACCCCTGCTTCTTCCCGCCTTTTTCTCCCTGGGTGCCTTCACCCTCCTAGGGCACAATTTTGATAGCGGTTCTCTAAAACAGATTTTTTTAAATTAAGAGGTGCAACCCATTATTAGATTATGAAACAAATTTAGTGGGTCACATTCATTTTTTAAAAATAGAATATATCTGTCCCATATAATAGGGATAAGTATTGTTTTATGAAGCTTGTTTCATTTGTGTATGTTTGTATTGTGACATTTGGGTCAAGATATAAATATATGTCACAGTCAGGCATGTTTGAAAGGAAGCACTGTACGAAAGTTACCATTTCTAATCTGCTGTCCCCATACCCTGATGTGAGCAGATATAGGTAGGGTATCTCTAGGGTGAGCATCTCTTCTGTAACTGTGTATAGGGCTCCACTATAGTTTCTGGCTCCATTGTTCATATTCCCTGTTGGTACATGGCAGTGAATAGTATACAGGCCATAAAACACATGTGTTGAAGCCAGCTCATTTGAATTCTCTAAGAGGCACTGCTGGTGTAGACCTTAGAGGAGGTTTCAAAGCCTGCCTTATCTGCCTGAGAGGAGAAGCTGAGTGTAGTGAGGAATTGAGGCTGGATGCTTCTTACTGCAGTGGATGTTTTTTCTTTCTGTCCCTGTGACTATCTGAGGGTGATGATAAGATCGGAAGAGAAAGGACCAGTCAGTATTTTGAGGCTTGTCTTTGCATTTAAAACAGGATTTATATAGGTATAGTCTCATATTAGGTGAGAAAAATTGCTAATATGTGTGCTGCCTCCATGGCCAGACCTTTATCAAGGGAGTGTCAGCAGCATGGGAGCCAAAGAAGCATGTGGGCTCTGGACCTGATTTTCCAGTTGAGTAGCTGGACCTCTCTGTGACCCAAGCATCATTGCTGTGGCAACCAGCTGTGGTAAAATGAGGGCTTTGACCTTGCAGGACAATGGTAACAAGAAGCGGATGAGCTTTTTAGATAGAAAATTCGCTGTCGAGCCTTGAACAAATCCCATGTAATGGACCTCAGTGTTCTCACGCATGGACTAGAGAAGGAAAGATGACGGCGTGCGGAGAATTCATGTTGGGAAAGCACCCAGGTGAGAGCACAAGCACACGTGCTATTTTGTCATAAATGCATTAGTGACCCTGATAAGAGGAGCTGCTGCCTCCCTCACCTTTCTGGCCAGGACTCTCGCCGCCGCTGTCCACCTCCCACATTCTTCCTACTCAAATCTGATTCCTGCCTGTCTCCCAGCAGGCTGAGTTCCTTCCCATCTCAGGGCCTTTGCATTGCAAATCTTTCCCAGAGAGCTGCACAACTCACTCCCTGCCTTTGCTAGTTACTACTAGAGTAGTGTCTACAGACCACCCAAAATGAGACAGCGTCATGGAATTCTGTGCCCTATATTGCAGATTTCCTCACAGTACTGTACTTCTAAGTCCTTTAAATTGAATGTGCTTCGTGAGAGAAGGATTGCTGTGATTGTTTTATGTTGTAAGTGGGTTCTGTTCTCTGTTCAATATCTCAAGCAGTGCCTGACACATAGTAGGTGATCACTAACTACTTGTTGATAAAGGAATTTAATTGTCATGAAAAACGTTTTTGTTCTCTTTTTGTTAAAAAATGAAACTTAATTTCCTTTTAAAGAATGAACAATTGTCCCAGACCATAGATAGCAAATGGCAGATACTGATAGAAATGCAGGATATATGAGGGGGTACCCCCCCCCAAATTGAATTTTTTTTCAAAGCTATGTAGTTAATTTTTTTTATATATAAAACCAACTCTAGCACCTTCAAAGTATTCTCCATTACGCATTTGTCAAATCTGTGATTCCATTCTTAGAAACATTTTTCAAACTCATCTGTTTGGGTGACTGACAGCACCACCCTCGTTTTTTTTCTTCACCTCTTTTACTTTGTTAAGTTACTGCCCTTCCATGTCCTTCTGCATTCAAGAAAACAAAAAGAAGGTGCGTGGAGCAAGGTGAGTAAAGTATGTGGGGCAAGAGAGGCATGACGTTTTTTGCCAATAACTGGCGCACTGAGATGGCTGTGTGAGCAGGTGCATTGCCATGGTGGCAAAACCAGTCCCTCATCTGCCGCAAATTAGGCCTTACTTGTTGCACGCTGTTACACAATCTTTTCAGAACCTCTAAATAGAAAGCTTGATTAACAGTCTGACCTGGTAGATGAACTCCAAATGCACTGTTCCCCTCACATCAAAAAAAAAAAGCATCGTCTTGATCTTTGATTTCACTTGACGAGCTTTTTTTGGTCGAGGTGACCAGGGCATCTTCCACTGGCTTGATTGATGTTTGCTTTTGGGGTTGTAAGAATAGCACCATGTCTTATCACCAGTAATGGCCTTGGAAAAAAAGTCAGGGTCCCTTCAAAACTGTTCTTTCAAAGCATGGCATGTTTCCACTCGAAGCTCTTTTTTCTGGTCAGTCAGTACCCGCGGCATAAATTTTACAGTGACCCAAATCTTCCATTAAAATTCGCTGAACCAAGCTCCAAGATAGTCCAGATAACGTCCCCATCTCTTCAGTGGTTTGTCATCATTGTCATCATTGGTCTTCAAGCACAAGTGCACTAATTCTGTCAATATTTTTGTCCATTCAGGAAGTTGATGGACATCCAGAATGACATTTGTCATCAATCAACATTTCACCTTTTTTGAAACGAGTAAACCACTTGTACACTTGAGTTTTTCTCATAGCACTGTCCTTGTAAACTGTGTTCAACACCACAACAGTTTCTGTGGCACTTTCCCGCCCCCCCGAGCAGAAAACAAAATTTCACAGCCACACACTGTCCTCTTAAATCAGCCATCATAAAGAACAAGGTTCGAGCAAAATTGCTTTTACGAAAAAATTCACTGTGACCAAAGAGAACCTTTCCAGGCGACATCACTGGGTGCACTAACACAGAGCGAGTTGCTGGATGCTCACCTAGTGGAAAAAATACACACTGTTTTTTTGCAGGCGGGGTTCCCCCTCGCATAGACTAGTCAAGTGGGACTGATGTCAAGAATGTAAGATTGGTTTAACATTTGTAAATCAATCAATACACATCACCACATCAACAGACTCAAAAATAACTAACTTGAGTGAGTTATTTGATGCCTAGCGAGAATAAACGGGTACCATGAAAGCGATGCCCAATGATGCTTTTTTCCGGTTTTTCTTTTCTTTTTTTCTTTTTTTGCATACCCCCTTGTATACTAAGTTGGGAGTTTCTCTTTGCCTTCTAGCATGCCTTTCCTCCCTCCATTTTCCTCCTCCTTGCAAGGACCAATATCTTTTCTCATGTTTTCACAATGGGCTTGCCCAGGCTGACTGGCCTAACCTTCTTTTAGACTCCACTCCTCTTACACGGACATACCCTCCTGAGTGCAGTGTGGTTTTTAGAGATCTGTACTCTTGGCATTCTAAAGTCTCAAGGGCTCATTTGAGGAGTGGATTCAGTGAAAAGGCCTGACTTCCTTCCCATCTGAGAGGAGAAAGGGTGGCAGTGATCTGTTGGGTGTGCCTGGTGTCTCTGAGACCTTTAGTCTCTATCTCATGCGGTCAGTCATGGCAACAGCTTCCAGAAGTTTCCTGAGGAGGTCTCCCTGGAGAAGTATTTTGATATATGTTCCTTGGGTTTTGTTGATATTCCCACAGTTATTTTCAAGCTTACTGATGTAGTCTTGCTTGGTGGTGTACCTAATGTTTCATTATCTCCTTCCATATTTGAGGTGCTTTTTGGCCCTACCCCCATCTCTGGAAAGGTGAAAATTCCTTTTTCACAAGTTGTAAATGGTGCGACAGTAATATACCTTCGCAGGAAATTTCATTCACTAGATAGATATTTAATTTTCAAGTTGCCATCTAAATATTTAGTGTTCTAGTCTCAGGTAAAAAACCAAACACTACCAGGGAGTCAAGGATGGCTCATGGTGGCTCTCTGTGGGTTTCAGAGACTGTAACTGTTTGTGAGAGTAGAAAGCCCCGAGTTCTGCTATGGTTTCAAAATGCCAACCTTCTGAATTGCAGTCCAGTGTGTAACCACTGCACCACGAGAGTTCCCCCTCTCCTCATAATGGCATATTATAATGAAACACAGCCAGACCCATTGCTGTGGAGCCAGTTCCTACTGGCAGTGACCCTAGGTAGACTTTCAGAGACTGTAGCTCTCTATTGGACCGCGCAGTCTCGTCTTTCTCCCATAGTGACTTACTGTGCATACGCATGTATGAGCCGCATTTTTCAGCACATTTTTATGCAGTTTTTTTGGTAAAATTAGGTGCCTCGGCTGATACTCAGACCGGCTTATGCTCGAGTATATATGGTATAATCAGAATGTAAGGTAGTTTAGTGACTAGAGTTGCCTTAAGAAAGATACCTCCCACTCGCTGCCATCGAGTCGATGCCGACTCCTCACGACCTTATAGGACAGGGTAGAATAGAGCTGACCCTTTGAGTTTCCAGGACTGTGAGAGTGGAAAGCTCCGTATTTCTCCTTTGGTGTGACTGGTGGTTTTGAACTGCTGACCATGTGGATCGCAGCCTAATGAATTACCACTGTCTTTAGGCCCCCAGAAGAAACTTAGATACTCTTATTCTGGTTAGTACTTTATTGTTGCAGTCTCTGTACTAAGATAGATTTGATTCATTTTCTCATTTGTTCCACAACCTCTGTTTTTCTTCTTTTAGGCAAAGTCCGGTGGCAGGACTTTAATCAGGAAGCTTATGTTGGAGTCACAATGGTCCGATCTGGGCAGGATCCCTATGCCCGGAACAAGTTTAACCAAGTGGAAAGTGATAAGTTACGAATGGACAGAAACATTCCTGACACCAGACACGATCAGTAAGTACACAACTGCGGACCAGCCAGTGGCTGCATTTCCTTGAGCACAAGCCAGTGGTTTCTGCGAAGCCACTAGTTTTTTTAGGTCCCCCCCCCCTCCCCCCGTTTTTTGCTTTGTTGTTGCTGTTGTTGTTTTTCCCCCACTGCAAACTTAACATGTTTTATATTTTACAATGTGGTAAAACTAGGAAACATTCTCAGACATATGGAATTGAAACCTTAACCCTCAGAAGTGAATAAACCGCTGCAAGCTTGCTCCTAGGTATCCGTTTGCTGGGTCGCTGTGTGAAGACGATAGGACACTCAGGCCAGAGCATGGTTATCAGAAAGAGAACATGTTTGCCCTTATGTGTTGATCATTTATTACTTTGGCAATCCAATTACTGAAAATAAAGTTTGCCACTCTTCACAGTCTCACTAGAATTTTTTTTGTAAATCTGAGCTCATATATTAAGACATAGGTAATATGCTAAAGACTCAAAAGGGTAAAGAAATGAGCCAGCAATGACTTACTCACTGCCCTCAAGTGACTTCTGGCCCATAGTCACCCAGTAGGACAGTAAGAACTGTCCTTGTGAGTTCCGAGTCTGTAACTCTTTACAGGAGTAAAAAGCCCTGTCGTCCTCCCACAGCAATATTTTTTAGATACTTTTTCCTGTTAACACCTCTTGTATTCATGCGCCTTTAGCCTCTTGTGCTTCATTAATATTAGCTAATAATAAATGCATACAGCAATGTAAATAAAAGTCCCCATTCTTAAAGAATCCAAAGAAGGGTCCGAAGAGAACCTCAGAGCCAAGATTATAGTCAAGTGGCAGTTGCTGACTAGATGCTCAATGTGGCTATAACAGAGGAAATAGAAAATACATTGACATGCATCAGGAAACAGTCACTGAAATTGATTGTGGTGATGCTTGTACAACTCTCTTGATGTGATTGAGCTATTAAATTATATATGTGAATTATATGCCAATAAAACTGTTAAAAAATTCTTTAAAGAAGGAGCACAGTGAACTCCAAACAGGACAGATCTCAAAAGAAACCCACCAAGACAAACCATTACAAGTTTTCCAAGACCAAAGACTGAGAAGAAATCTTGAAAGCGGCAAAGGAAAAGAACAGTTACCTACAAAAGAAAACTGTCAGGGATTGAATTATGACCCCCTCAAAAACTAATATACCAACTGGGCTAGACCATAATTCTCTGGTTTGTGTAAGATATAATGTGGCCGTTATGTAATGATCGCTCCTGGTGTGATTTGATTGATAAGCCTATCAGTCAACTGTAAGAGGTACATGGATGGGATACACCACACTGAATCCCATAACAGCCCTGATTTGATGTAACAGGATTTTTCCTGGGGTGTGTCCTAAAATCCCCCCTTTTTTAAAATCAAAGGATTATCTTATTGGGGGCTCTTACACCTCTTATAACAAACCATACATCAATTGTATCAAGCATATTTGTACATATGTGGCCATCATTATTTTTTTAACATTTACTTTCTATTGAGCCCTTGGTATCAGCTCTAAAACCTTTGATATGAGTTAAAAATGTGGAGACGCAGTCAGGAATCAGAGAGCCCTGCTATCACAAAGAAAGAAAAGCCAAAGGTGGAGAGTAATGATCCTCAATATGTGATTCGACTCAGTGGCTAGTGGGCGCAGTTTTTAAGCGTTTGAAATAGAGGAGTTTCTGCAAGCAGATAGGTAAATTTTAGTTGGGTTTAATTTTAGATCCTGCTGCTGTGCCATATTCATTTGCATGTGTTAAGGGAGTTGCTGTAATGCTTTTCGCATGAGTGTGATGGTTTTGTAAGTTTGTTGTTTTGTGTTTTAAGCAAACAAAGTCTACCTAAAAATCACTTGGTTGCTGGAACTTAATTTACTGTCCTCTAAATACAAGTTTTAGAATAACGATTCTTGTCGAAAGTCATGTTCCTTAATGTTAAAGCATATGAGCTACCGCTTTGACTGCCCCCCAGTAAATCTGAGAGAGCCATCAAGGAATTTGACCTTACTATGAAAAGACCATATAGTTGTTTTTGTTATTATTTTATCTGCCTTTGTGTAGATGTGTATATAAGTGCTTGACAATTAGAATTCAGTCCCCAACTGTGATAAATCTGAAAGCATTATAAATGAAAGTTATTTGCAGGATTTTTGGATTCTCCTAGCCCTGGTTGAAATGTCAGACTCTCTAGTTCTGGATTCTGTGACCTCTGTCATATTTACTCCATGTGTGGTTACTGAGGATTAAAGCAAAAGTTTTGTAAAGGGCAATTTCCTTCTCCAAGATTTGCTCGTGGGTCACCTCATTGAGGCCTTCCTGGCCACTTTATTTACTACTTATTTACTACTATGGCCTTCTAATTACAACCCAGCATTCCCTATCCTTGCCTACCATATACCTCTCCATAATTTTTGTCCTTACCAACATGCTATGTACTTAGTTGTTGTTTATCTCCACTCACTAGATGCTTAAGTGCCATTGTGGTGCCTCCTCTTCTTGGAAGTACAGTTTCTCAACTTAAAACAGAAAAGCCTGCCTTCCTCCTTAAATATCATTTGAAACCTCAACTTAATGGAAATCTTGATGTTTTTTATACTGCTTGCTTCTTTTCCCTCCCCCACACAGATTCTCATGTCCTCTTCCCACCTGCAATTTTGACTCATTCCTGGAAATTAAAGCTAGCCTTCTTTTCTGGGGACCCCTGGCGTTTGGCTAGAGAGCAATTTCCGTTTTCAGGCTTTAGGAGGCTGACTGACCTCCCTGCCACGACCCCGCCCCTTCCTGTCCCTCAGGCACGCTCCTCAGCCCACATATGTCTCACTGTAGTGAGTGCTCCGTCTCGTCTGGCATCTGTGTGTCATGACACCGCTCAGTTTCTTGCAGCGTCCCTGGCTCGGTCTCTCCTTTTACCGTTAGGTGCAGGTTTATGGGGCCACATCAGGACTGAAATGTGGACACGAAGCTCGGATTCTAATCAAGGGACATCTGGTTTGTAGGTGTAGGGAAATGAAGTGACTTGGTTTGTCTCTTCTGTCCACACTCTCTGTAACTCCCACACAGTGACTGGGTAGGAGCATGCAAATAGAGTGTGGGAACTCTGATAGAGGGGATTAATCAGTTTTGCCATACCACTGGGTATAAAGTGAGGCATTTCAGAAGCAAGAGCAGGGAATCTCACAACCATCTGAAAAAAAGAGGCATCAGGTATGAATTGAGCCCTAAATCCCTGCATGGAGAAGCAGCAAAGGAGCACAACTGAAACCATGAGACAAAGCAGGAGAGCAGCAGCACATTACAGCAGCACATTAGACAGAATGCCAGGCTTTCCAACCCTCAGAGCCCCAGTGAGCATCAGGAGGAGGGTTCCTTACAGGGTGTGGTACCCTCAGCGCCTTCATCAGCACTAGGCAGCTTTTTAACAACTGCCCAAGCAAGGCCGTGTGGCTGAGGCACTGGACCAGAGAGATGTGCCTGTGACCATGGCTGAGAGAAGGTGCTGTGGACAAAAGAATTATATCCTTAATAGTTCTGATTCTGTTAACTTCCTAATAACTGTATTTCTGTGTGTTCTGTGTAGCCATTGCAATGGCTTATTGAACCCAGCAATAATCCCCTGTCGGAGGGATGATTGGTGTGAAAAGGGTAAAGGAAGTTGGAGGGTGGAGGCTGTGTGACCATGGGGCATATTTAGAGTTAAATTCTCCTCCCTTCTGTAGCCAGAGGAGGTCTGGTATGACTTCCAACGTGATTTCCTCAGTAGATAATTGGATGTGTCTGGTGCTTGGGGAAAATTGTCAGCGCGATCTAAACTAGGGACTGCTCAACAGATAAATAGTACTTGGATCCGTGAGATGGGATGCCACATGAATGCAGACCCAAATTGGAAGAAGCCCAAGGAGTGGGACCCAGATTACTCCAATATTGGGTTCTTTAACCAAGTTCTTTAAAGCCAAGGCCTAGCACTTTAATAGTACAGCCTAAGATATGGGACTGGGATTTTTCACCTGTGTTCACTTGATCAGGGTGTAATTTCATTAAAATGGGCAACAGTAAAATGAAGAAGAGTCATAGTAGAGAAATGGTGCCCGTCACCTGGATTGAGGATAGAAATGTGAGGCAGAGGCTTGGGAGTTGGGCTGGAGAGGTTAGAAAACTAGTGATCCCTCTGTTTTGCCGTATACAGCATGGTGCTATACATCCAAGAAACTGACCTACCCCGAATGCCAAAGTACTTACTTGACTGTTCCCCCACATTAATGTGAACAAAAGGTGCATGGAACTTACTTACCTATATACTTGTGTATAAGCCGACCCGAATATAAGCCAAGGCACCTCATTTTATCACAAAAACTGCATTAAAAATGTGCTGAAAACATCCTCTAGTTCCTAAATGTTTCCTCCTCCCTGTCTACCCCCGTCACTATCATGATCCCAATTCTACCTTACAAATCTGGCTAGACCAGAGCATGTACACTGGTACAGATAGGAACCAGAAACACAGGGAATCCAGGGCGGACGATCCCTTCAGGACCAGTGGTGTGAGTGGCGATACTGGGAGCGTAGAGGGAGGGTGGGTTGGAAAGGGGGACCGATTACAAGGATCTACATATAACGCCCTCCTTAGGGGACGGACAACAGAAAAGTGGGTAAAGGGAGACGTTGGACAGTGTAAGATATGACAAAATAATAATACTTTATAAATTACCAAGAGTTCATGAGGGAGGGGGAGCGGGGAGGGAGGGGGAAAATGAGCTGATATTAAGGGCTCAAGTAGAAATCAAATGTCTTGAGAATGATGATGGCAACAAATGTACAAATGTGTTTGACACAATAGATGTATGTATGGATTGTGATAAGAATTGTACGAGCCCCCAAGAAAATGATTTTTTTTAATGTGCTGAAAAAACTTGGCTTATACATGAGTATATATGGGATTCAATTGCTCTCAGTTGGAACCTACTTTATCAGTCAGCAAACCCCTCCAAGT